CAGCTTGGTGGAACTTGAATTGAATACCAAAGTAGTAAGGATATGTTGTGAAGTCAGTACTGGGGTTGGGATAAACTCTACAAGAGCATAGCAGTTTAATGGTACACCCTAACCACCAGTGTTAGTCTCGGCTATAGCGATACCAGATCAGCTGTAAGAATAGGATACAGAAGATTCTGGAAGGTTTAGTACAAGATCAAAGGTTCACCATATGAGTGAACCGCTTTAAAGACTTAGTGACCATGGCATATTTGAACCAATATCGATCAGGGCATCTTGGTAGGTGTAGGTAGGTGGGTGGATACGGGAACAGAATAGTTAAATAAGGAACTTACAAGTGGGTTTCAGGTATGGCAGCTAGTATAGAACCTTTGGGCGAACTACTTAAATTAAACAATGACTAAAGTTGTATGAGTGGCTAGTTGTACATTCTTTCCATGATTGCCCTCTGTGGTTGTAATGCAACCATTAGCTGAATGTATTATCAATAAAATCCTGGATCGCAAGTACTCACCTTAATATTTAAAAAAAAAAAAACCAAATAAAACAATTCTAATTATGCTTAGAGAGTTCCTCTGGCCTTAGTAATATCATACTATTATATATTGCAAGCTCTTAGCTTATTCAATAATACTTGCAGAACAATTCTGGTTATAACTAGAGAGTTACACTAACCCTAGTAATGTTGTACTATCTTACAAATCTTTATCTCATATTAGTTAGTTTATTTCAGTTTTGTTTGTCATAAGCTTCTATATAAATACTACTAAAACCTAATTTGGTACCTTTATATTGTACAAGAAAGTTATATACTAACCTTCAAGATTTTCTTTTTTATAATTAGATTATTTGGTTGTGTCAGAGATACTTCCAATTTTAGTTAGATTAATTTTTTATCATAGCCTATTCTTATATTTACTGCTTCTTTCACTATTATAGTCTTGGTTACTTTTAGACTACTTTTCCAATCAAATTCTCTTCTTAGATTCCAATTAGAACTTGTTTGTACAATCTATTGATTATCCTTTCAAGTAAGTACTTCACAAGTTAGATGCAAAGATGTTAGTACTGCTTATATTAGAAAGTATAAGAATTTTGGTGCTGCCTTAGTCTAAAGAACTTACATATACAATTTTTCTATAATCATAACCTTCTGTAACAACTGTTTGTTATACATAATACCTATACTTTACAATTGGATCTTCTTCTAAGAATTTCTATTTTCATTATTATATTGTATTTAAACTTAACTACAAGACTTCATATTTAATTACAGGCTTATTATTAGATTACAAAAACTAAAATCTTTCAATTTTGATTTTAGCCAAACTTGAACTGTTGATCTTAACTATGAAGGATATAGGAACTTAATCACTAAGCTATAGGACCCACACCCCTATTGGTAAATTTTAAATAAATTTTAAAAAATATAATAATTTAGTAAAGTGAATAAGTTATTATTCTTTTAAGTAACAAATTATAAATTCAAAACCTATTAAAGTTAAAAATTTAGAAAATACATCTGTATTATAGTAACAACTTTTTATTGATTAGTTAGAATAAAATACTTATAACTATAGTTATATTAATATAAATAACAAGTTATAAGATATCTGTATAATTTTGATTATATAAAAAAATGTAAACCAATACCAAACAGTACAAATTCAAAATAAATTTTTATAACTATATAAATCTGTAGAACTAAAAAAAAACTAAAGTATACTTAAAAAAATCTAAGTAGAAAAGTTATTCAAATTTTGAAAATATCACTATAAAGACTAAATCTAAAAACAAATATCAATATAAAAAAATTATGTAAGTACGAATTTTTAGAATAGAATAGTATTAGTTAAGGTTAAAAGTTACAGCAATGATAAGTAGAATGACTGAGCAGATTTACTTGCAAAGAAAGGAGCAATATGTAGAAAAATAATATTTATAGAGAAAATTAAGTATGACAAGATAGAGTATCACTTAGAATAGGAAAACAGGAAAGTTGATATACCAACAAGACTTCTTTGTAAAATAGTTACAAATACCAAAATCGAAGCTTGTTAGAGAGAAACAAACCTAATTCAAGCACTAAAGCCAGAAACTGAGAATACTTAATATAATTGATCAAGCTTTTGGAAAGAGATAAATAGAACAAAAAATATATATTGCATAATAAGAAAACTTAGTACAAGAAGAGCTATAGTGATTAAATGCATAATGGACAGCCTACCAACATTAGAAGAACTAAATAGAAGAAGACCAAAAATATATACAACAACTGATTGCCAAATAGCCAAAGAGGTAAAAAAAAAACCCAAGCATACCTAACAAGCTGCATCGAACAAAAAAGCTTATAGAAGAAAATTCAAAAAGTAACAACAGCAACAGCATGGAACAGTCTTAAAGAAAATAAAAGAGTTAAAATTCTATCTCCTGTGCTATATGAGGTATTATTTGAGAAAACAGAAGCAGAAGAAATTACTAATAGAACAGCTTTAGTAAAAAGGTTAATAACAAATGAGGTTAGAAAAAGGATCAGTTAAATTCTAAATAGACAAGCAATACAAAAATGTATGAATATAGTAACAAGAACAGTATGGAATACATTTTATAACCAAGTATGGAAAGTCCATTGTGAAAAAGTACAAGAATGAGAAAAGAAAGTTAATATAACAAGCAAAATAAAAAAAGATACTCGAACTAGAAGAAGATCAGAGAAAAGAACAAAGAAAAATAAGACAGTAAAAGAAGAAGAAAAGAAGAGAAAATTGGAAAGAATGAATCGAATGAAGAAAGAAGCTTGGAAGACAATTGATATACTTGTTATGAAGGGAAAAAGACCCTTCTGATATGACTTTAAGTAGTTAGATAAGCAGTCTATCTCTAACTGAGATAGTGTGACAAGTTGCACTTAGGTACTAACAAGATGGCTAAGTGATGCTAAACTTAAGTATTGAGAAATTCTATGTAATTATAATTGTAAATAGTTTCAAGAATCTTAATAAAGTACTAACGTAACTGCTTAAAATTAAAAAAAAAAAATAAAATAAAATAAAATTTTTAGATAAGAAATACCATCAACCAATTGCTAAATTTAAATCAAATAAAAAAATATCAGATCAAATTTAATATATTAAGAACAGATTATAAATGTTCTAAACTATTTAGATTAGAATTCTAAAAACAAAACAAAAATATACTAAAATTCTAAAAATATACTGTAAATTAAATACTAAGATTTAGATAAACTCTGCAAAAGCATAAAACTATTAATAGTCTGCAAAATAAATAGATTAATTAATAAAGAAACTCTTTAAATCTACTAACAGGTAATAGACTTTGAAATATGTAATAACCTAAGTACTAGTACAAAAAAAAAAAGTAAATGCTATTTAGACAATATACTGATTAAGGATATATAAAAAGTTTGTGACAGTAAAATGATTAATGAAACAAATGATTAGAAAGTTTAAAATAGATTATAACATCTAATGTAAACCTTTAAGATGAACTACTTAAATAAGCAACCAAAAGTTGCATCTATAAAAAATAATTGTATTAGCTAACCTCAAATAAGAATACCACCGTGAAGCACAGGCCTTTAGATATATTAAAAAAAATTAATAATAAATTCCAAATTTTAGTGATTATTGTGAATCATAATGAAATCGATTAAAATTAAAAAAGAAATTTCTATTTGACCTTTTAAACCTCATCTATGCTTGTTTATTATAATTTTACTTATAAATACTAATCCTAACCCTGAAAAAATGTATCTTAAAATGTATTTTAAACTTTTGCATTTTTTGATGGCTTGTCCATTTGACACTCATTTCATTTTAATCCGTCACAACGATTTTTTTTGTAAAAATTTTATATATAAAATGTAACTGCTAAATATCACTAAATATTTATTGAATTAATTGAAAAATAAATACTATATCAAAACTTGATTTGGTAAAATAATTACGTATTCGAACATTCGAATAATTATTCAATGGATCAGGACTCTAGATCAGATAATACATAATATATATATATATTTTTTTTTTTGCTTTTTTTTTTAAAAAAAAAACATTTATTCTAACTTAAATATAATAGACGGGTTATACATATGCGACATGTAAATATTAGAAATATAAAAAGAAATATAATTTTTAATAAAAAAAGCTTTTATTTTCTCTTGTTTCATATATGTTATGTAAACTTTGTTATCAATGCTAGTGAATAAATAAGTAAATTTTATCACTGCAATTACAAAGAACCTGTATTACTATCTTGAAAGTATATAATCAGTGTTGGCCTATGACCCGTTATGACCTATTGGTACGTCCTTATGACCGGTTATGACTCATAAATTTATGACCACCTTGGTCATATAAAGTTGGTTATGACTCAAAATGGTCAACACTGAATTTGATTGGTCATATTAGGCGAGCCTAATTTTAAAATAAAGCCCAACCTGGCCCATTCTTCGGCTTTTTTTTTTCCTTGAGACTGGATTCGGGCTTATAAATGTTTTCGAGTTTGAGTATGGGCTTCGTCAAGCACGCCCAACCCGACCCATTCCGTACCCTACTTTTCTGCTGCGGTCTCTTTCGCGGCGGCGATTGAAAGGATGCTCTTTGGTCTCAGAGGTAATAGATGTATTTGACGTAGCTGGTGTTGTAGTTGATGATATTTCATTTGGACTTTCTACAACAGGTTCTTTAACAGACTCTTTAATAATTTGTCTGATTTGATCTTTTTGCCGTTGTTGAATGGTAATTTTTATAGGCGTACTTTTCTTGATTTCCTTATCTTTCGCGTCGGATTTTATATCCTCTTTAACTTGCGGTTTAGTCAGGATAGTAACTACTGGAGTTTCTGACTTGGCAGTTCCTGCTTGGACCTTCTGTTTCTCCTTTAATTTTTGTCTTTCTCGTTCCTTCCTTCTTTCCCTCATTTTTTCTCGATCCTTTTCACGATGACTCTCTTTCTCTTTGTTTCGCTCTTTCGATTTGTCATTGGGTCTTTCTTGATCTTTGTCGTTTATAGCTCCCAATTCTTTCTCTTTTTCAACATCTTTGATAATCTCATCTTTTATTTCTTTGGATTTATCATTATCTTTTTCTTTTCTGTCCTTCTCTCTTCTTTCCTTCTCCTTTTCTCTTTTTTTGCGTTCTCGTTCTTTTCGAGTGGGCTTTCCTGGACCAGGGGGGAAAGTCACTTCAGACATCTGTATTCCTCGTATTTGTTGCATCTGTTTGGTTTTGGAACTCTTTGCAGGAGAGCCAGGTGGAGAAAGGACAGTCACTTGCGATTGTTTTGGGGGCGGTGACTTAGATTTTGCTCCAGATTTTTGAGCTCGCAAATGGTCAAGGAGCGGTGTACTTTTTGGTTTTTCGATAGTATTAGAAGCCGCTGTAGCTATTTTAAATTTATACAACGGTTAAATGAAATGTATATAATAAACTGACAATATATCAAAAAAAAAAAGAATAAATAACAACATACCAATAGCACCCGTCAAACGCGCCTCCAGTCTTTCCAATTGTGTAGCGCCTCCCTCTAATCCAGAACCTGGCTCTTTTAAGGTAGCCTGTCGGTTTTCATCAGCCTTTAAAGACTCAAGGAATGCAAGATAATCAGGATCTAAAAATACACAATAAGAACTTTGGTTTATTTTTTAATTCTTTGAAACATTTTAACCATTTTACACGCCGTAAAATAGTACCATTCTGAATAGTCCCCTGTCTTGGGTCTGATTTTTTATGTTCTTTTGGTAACTTCTGATAAACTGCAAACTCAACTACTGCTTTATTTTCGTTACCTACAAGAGTGTCATGGCAATGTCATATGAAGTTAATAAAATAATTTTATAGACTGAACACAATTTACATGCCTTGCCTATCGACGAAAAGATGGTTGTCATAACCACGGTGAAACTCTAAAACTTGCTCAACGTTTTTAAAATGGAAGTAAGCACGAGAAAATATATTCTCTTTATTCTTACTGTATAATAAAGAAGGTTGATCAATCGAAATGCTAATTCATAAGTATTTGGTCAGTAAGCTATCGTTACCTCTTACTTATTCGACCTTGATGAAACCGATACCAGTCAATGGTTTCTTCATTTGCCCATTGTTTTACAGATTCCAGGAATAAATTTTCGGGAAGAAGAGGAGGCAAGCGGCGAACTACAATTTTAGTTTTGGTGGCATTTTTACTACGTCCTGATCGTTTAGCTTTAGATTTCTTTGGCTTTGCCGATTTTATTGTTTTACTAGACATTGTCAAATTTCTGAAGTCAAATTATCTATCTCTATACCTGTATACCGAAGCACAATGTCCCTAAGCAATTTTCCCGGTCAAGCATAATTTCAAAATTGAAATTTCACAGACGTTCATATGATTGGTTAATTTTTGTAGATCTACCCGTGATTTCCCGTGATAATTACCAATCAAATAAATTAACAAGAGGAACCGTTAATGACACCATGCCAGGGGGAAACGTCACATCATTTGTAGATCCGTTACACAATTCGTAAAAATTTTTTTTACATTATTTTAAAGTACTATTTCAAAAAGCTCACGTTACTTACCTACTTTGAAACGGAAGTAGTACTCTAAGTAAACTTGAAGGCTTCGTGCAGTACTTTAATAATATCGGTTGAATCCACCTGATCCAACAACTTTTATATACAGTTTTGCCTATAAAAGATATATATAAAATTAAGAAATGCATTAACTGCCAAGCCACCAATTCTTGTAGATTCCGTGTGCTAAAGAATAAAAAGTGAAAAAAAGCTAAAAATAACAGTTTAGTGAAGGAAACGTAAGAAGAAGGTATTGTTTTATATAGTCCTTGTTACATGGAGCTGGTACAAAACTTATTAAATAGAGATTTCAATAAACTAAGAATTGTAAAACAACTTGCAAAAAAAGAGGCAAAAGAGGTAAGTATGTTAGAAAGAGATACTAAAATCAATCTTATTAAGGCTATTAAGTCTATAGTTAAAATTTTTTATAAGAGAAAGCATGTAAAAAAGAAAACTCTTCTATATGTTTTTAATAAAATACAAAAATTATTTCAAAAAACTAACTCAACTTTTGAAAATTTTTTTAAATAATTTATTTTGCAACTTAGTTACTTAAATGTTATAAATAAACAATAGGTTATATAAAGAAATTAATAGTTTTTTTTTTTTTTTTTTTAATATAAGCAGTCATGCTAGTACTTTATTAGGTTTTTGGAATTATATTTGTAACTACATAAATATCTTTAATATATAAGTTTAGCATCATCTAGCCACCTTAATGGTACCTAAATGCAGCTTGTCACATTACTTCAAACAGAAGTAAGCTGCTTATCTGACTACTTAAAGTTCATAATGAAAAGGTCTTCTCCCTTTTATGACAAGCCTCAACATTGTCTTTATTACTTCTTTCTCAACTTGTTTTTCTTTTTCTCTTATTTCTTTTTTTTTCTCTTCTCTTTTTTTCTAATTTGCTATTTCTTGTTTTCTTGATTCCTTCAGCTTTCTATCTTTTTTTCTTTTAATTTTACCTGTTATTCCAATTTTTTTCTCTCATTCAATAATTTTTTTACAACATATTCTTCATACTTGTTTATAAAATATGTCTCAGGCCATTATTATTACTATATTTGCAAACAGCTGTCTTGATCTCGTATTTAATAGTTTTGTTAGTTTGTCTTGTATTTCTTTTGGTATTAGACCTTTTATTAGTGTTTTTCTTATTTTAATTTCCTCTGCCTCTGTTTTCCAAAAAGTGCTATATATAACATATATGAGGGAATCTGAGTCTTTTCTTCTTCTTTTAAATTCTTTCATGCTGTTACAATAGTCATTTTTTGGATTCTCTTTCAAAGATTTTTTTGTCCTTTGTATGCTGTCAAATGTACTTGTATCTCTTTTACTTTATTTTGGCACACTTGGCATTTTACTGTTGTGTATATATCTGACCTTTTTCTGTTGAGTTCTTCTAAGCTCAGAAGTTTATCTATTATGCACTTAATAAAAATACTTCTTCTGAAGCTGTTTTTTCTTGTTATGTAGTGAATTTCTTTCAATGTCTTTAGTCTTTTTCAAAAATAAATTCAGTCATAAATTGTAATTTTTGTGTCTGGTTCTAAACTTTTAACTATTTTTGTTTTTTTTTACTCTGCTCCTAGTCTTGTGTTTGTTACTAATTTACAAAGCAGTCTTGCTGATATGTCAATTTTTCTATTTTCCTATTCTAGGCAGTACTTTATCTCTTTACAACTAACTTTTTCAGTCTGTACTATTTTTCTACTCATTGTTCACTTCTTTGTTAAACTATTGGCTTTATTATTTCATTTGTCTTTATTATGGTTTTTAACTTTAACTAAACCTATCTAAATGTTTTTTGTTTTAACAAAGTCTTTAATCTTCATTATCTATATCACATTTTTTTCTTAATAATCTTGTTTCTGTTTACTTGTTCTAAGCTTTTACCAATGTTTTTTATTACAGTATTACTATCTGTATGTATCTCTATTTGCTTCTTTCTAGATATTGTTAGAATTGTTGCTCAAATTGCTACCAACTTTGATATTATTGATGTTTGTTATCCTTCTAGTTCAAATACTAATTTTTTTTCTGGTTATTCTTGTATTTCATTTGTTTGAACCCATCCTATCTTCATATCATTTTTAGATATTAGCTCTTTACTATCTCTTTCATTAGTTGCACCATCAGTATATATTATATATTTGTTTTTATTTCTTATAATGTTTCTTTTTAGAAGTTCGATTATTTTTTGACTAATATTTTCTTCTAATTTTTGTCATTTAATAATTTCTATCTTTAGTTCTTCTATTATTATAAGCCCCTTTAGCTTGCATTTAATTATTTTTAATCTGTTTATTTCTGTTTTGTCTATTATTTGGTCTATCACTATTTTAATTTGATTGCTACTCTTTCTTATTAATCTATCTGAACTTATATAAATGTTTTTATTTAATCTTATCCTTTCTTAGCAACTGTTTTCTATCTGTTCTTCTTTATTTATACATTCTTCATATCTGTTGATCTCAGTTATTACTTTATTCTCTTTGAACTTCATTTACCAATATTTGATTAACACTTTTTCTTTTTCTTTTTAATCAACTTTTCAAGCTGTCTGTGGTCTCATGTACCATATATTATCTATTCTTTTCTTCTTCTATCTTCTGATATATGTTCCTTTTTATCTTGCATTATCTAAGTGTTTTGTTTATCTGTTCTAAAGCATCTTTGTACTACTCTATTCTCTGGGCTGCTAAGTACTTTTAATTTAATTGCTTTGAATCATTCTGCTTTTTTCTCTTTATTTAATTGGTTTTGATAGTTTTTTAGTTGCTGCTATGTAATTAGTTTTTCTTTTCTTATGTCAAGTAGTTGGTTTAGATATATTAAACCAGTTTCATTTACTTTAACTGCTCCTTTTTTCTACAATTGTGCATCTATCAGTTCTTGTATTTTAGTACTATACCCAAACATTGTTCATAGTTTATTTTCTGTTCTAATATTTATTTTTAGTTTCCTTGCTTTGAATATTGTAAGGCATGCTAAGTTGTTCTTCAAATATGTTTCAATTTCTGGTTACTCTTTCATCTTCCATATATTTTCTACTAAGCCTGCTCTTTGACAACCTTGTGTTATTCTTAGCTTTGTTAACTGTTTGAGACTGTCTTGTCTATTCAGTTTTGCTACAAGACCACTTACTTGCTTCATAGTTAACTCTTGTCGCAATGTTCTATAGCTGCCAAGATCTTTGTGTTCTATTATGCAGTTTTCTATTGTTCTTTGCAGACTGCTCTTTTGTTTTGCCAAACTTATTATTGGTTGATATATTTTATTTAGGCTTCTATTTAACATCTTTGTTAACTGTAACATATAGCTTAGTTTGGATATTATTATCATATTGTTTATATATGCAATTTGGTTCATTGTTATTTTTTTGTATCTTAAATCTTTTATAGTCTGGCTTACTATCCCTTTTGCCTTCTTTTTTATTTATACTTCTCACATTCTACTGTTTAACTATATTTCCAATGAGTGAACTATTTTATGTCTTGGTTCTTCTACTATTTTGCTTTTTCTATATATTATTACTTTTTTTTCTTTTCTCATTGTTGGATTCATTATTATTAATTTCGACTTTGATCCATTTATCTCTATATTGTTCATTTCAAAGAACTCTTTAGCTATTTCTAGAATCTTTAATAGTTGCCTTTTACTGTTTGCAATCCATGTTGTATCATCTGTATATGCAATTGCTACTTGATGGTATCTTGTAATATTGTTGCATTGCATGCCTCTTTGTATATATTGCTCAACTATATATTCTAAACTTTTATTTTCTTGAATTCTTTTTAGTAATGGGTCATAAAAGAGATGACATATTAGTGGTAAGATTACTTCACCTTGGTTTATTTCATCTTCTGCTATTAATTTTTCTGTTAAGCTATAAGCTATAATTATTCTCAATTGTCTTTTGTAAAACAGCTTTAAAATATATTTAATTGTTCTTTTGGGTATTTTAACTCTTTGTAATACTAGTTCAAGACTTTCAAGAAGAACTAAATCGAATGCCTTTTTCATATCTTGTAACAGTATCCATACTTCTTTATCTTTTTCTTTCATTTCCTCTATTATTATATTTAAAATCTGTACTAGTTGCTCTGTTAAGTTTCCTAGAAGGTTTGCAAAATTTGATCCTTTAAGTATTTCTCTTTCTATAAATACTTTGGCAAGCCTTTTCATTACCACCTTTGTTACAACTTTTCTGAATGTTTCAATTAATGCTATCAGATGAATGTTGTTTAAACTATATCTCTATTCTATATCTTTTGGTATCAGGTACACTTGTGTTATTTTTCATTTTGTTAAAATTTCTTCTATTTTTAAGCATAGGTTTGTGAAGCTTCTAAAGATTTTTTGTGTTTTCATTTCTGCTTTCTTGATCAGTATATAGCTTATATCTGAGATACCTGAAGCTGTTCTTGTTTTTAGTTCTCTTAATGTTTCTTTCTATTTTTTTTCCTTAATTTTTCATTCAAATTCTGCATACTATTCCTCTCTAATGTTTTCTCTTAGTTTGTATATCTTTTTCTACTTTTCTGTCATTGTTTTTAGTTTAGTATTTCTTTTTCTAAACTGTATTCTATAATGTTCTACTATATTTGTCTTAACTTCCTCTGACTTTGTTATTAAAAATATATTCTCTTTTACTTG